ATGACTGTCTATGACTGTCTATTCATTCGATGTTTGGTTATCAGTTAGCCGAATCATAGAAGTCTCATTGTCAGAATGAAAACTTGCGGTAAAACTTTGTTTTGAATTTACTATCAATTATAACCTTTAGTATTTTGAAAATTTAAAAGCAACAGTTTTACTTTAGCGATGGAAAATAAACACAAACCTGAAGGTATTCTTCGTCAGTAAAGTTTTGTTTTGGACACCATGCTGTTTGAGAAGACAAAGCTGCATGCTCAGGGGAATATTGCGGAGAAAGCTGAGATGAAGCTGTAACTGTGCTTGTAGAAATAAAAGGCTTTGTACATTCTAAAATTAAAAAAAATAGTGTTAATGTTAATTGCATCAAAGCTGAGTTTCATTCCATTCAATTTCGAAAATATAAATTAGCGCTATACAAACGAAAGCTTCATAATCACAAAAACGTAATCATTGCATAAAGACTCAGTTTTGATAATTTGGCTTTATGATATGTTCAGTTGACTAAAGTTATGAACTAGAAAACACCCAATTATGAATACATAGTCAAACCTAAAAGAAAAAAAACAAAAAAAGGATAGGAGTTTTCAGTCGCTTATATCATTTTTACAGCAGTGAATATTTGGAGGGAGTAAAATCTTATCTTTGAATTTTGCCGCTTGACTACTCCGTTGAAAATGAGTAGGTCTTAGTTTGAAGGACATGACTTTCTCAAATAAGAATAATTATTCCTTCATAAACACGAAATTATTGAAATTCTGAATAACGAACAAGAACACACTCACAACAAAGCCCCATTTATGCGCTGCCCATGTAGGTTGGGTTGCTTCACATAAGTCGCTTGTACTTTACAATCTTTCTTTTTAGATAAATGTTACTCTAAATCTAGACCTTATGAATTCACAAGAAACATGTTTATTCTCAAATTTCTATTCCCGAGAGCCTAAGATTTATCCGAAGTTTCTCTTTTTTTTCCTCAAATCTTTCTCTTATTTAAATCATTCATGTTATATCCCAATTCACAGAAGACAAGTACTCGAATAGCAATCTTAAGTGTTGGATAGGTTTCCCTACAAGGGAAAACTATATGACGGAGCCACGACCAAAATCATATTTTTTCCATATCTCTCTAATAACTGAAACTTATATACTCACCTCCTCTGCCAAACTGTCCCGCAAAAACAACTACGAGTATTAGCAATGAAAGATAAACTCTCATTTTCTCGGTGTTCGTTGAAAATTAGGAATGATCTTTAGTATCAACGAATGGAAAAAAGTTAAGGATCGATGCAACAACTGACTAAGATTATTATTCTTTGAGGAAATAAAACCTATTCAATCAGTCGTCCAGGTGTTTAAATAAACGAATTCGTAATTAATTTGCGCGACGAAAACCGACTGCATACAATAGATGCATTTGGAATAACCATCACGTCGAAAGTTACACATGACTCTACTGAGATGAGATAACCAAAAAATAAATCGAAAATCAAAGCAAAAACATGCTTCATGAAGAATAAAGACATATTATGCTTATTGCAAATCACTTATTATTGTTGAGAAGGTAGACTCTCGCTTAGTGATTGACTCGCTTAGTGATTGACTCGCTTAGTGATTGTTTGAAACACCATAAATGTAATGGAAGAGAGTAAATAAATTCTATAGTCGCTTTTGCTGATTGCTTCATTTTAATGGAGAAGTCATGATATTTATCGTTTCCTCAATTTGAATATTACAGTTTAAAACAAAATTGAAAAATGAGCCGAATTAGAAGCAGTTTTAGCTGTGGTTACAAAACCAGCAAGAACAAGAAAAAAAAGGCAATTTTATTACCACAGCTGATTCCATGGAGTTGAAAGGCAGTGTGCAGTTTTAATGAACGACTGAGGTCTTCTTCTAGCGCTGTATACTGATTGACTAGAAGCTAATGACTCTTCAGTTCTGTGTTGCCAGTTGTTTTAATTAAATTTGAGTAGATGTTATCTTTTAAGTTGTCTTAACTGTATAACTGTAGATCATACAGTCAATAAGTTCAGATTTTTGACAGTAATAATTAATGACGTACAAACACTGCCGATAATGGTGCTCAAAACTGTGCCCACCTTTCATCTATCCACCAGTGATGATTGCCTTCATAATGAATAATCTACTTAGCAAGTTACTGACGAATTCCAAAGATAAACACTATTTAACTAAAGATCCCTCAAGTACGAAATAGGATTTAAATTGGTTTAATACATCTCTTATCGTCAGATGAAAAGCTTCATCAAACTAGACGTCTACACATAGTTGTAACAAATCATTTAAGACGTAGATTGTCAAATGAAAAAATTTCTCCTTGTTTTGTCTACGTTAGAAAATTAGAGAGGTTGTGTCATTGTGGTCTCCGTTAATGTTTTTGTTGACGATGTTACAGTTTTATGGTGTTTGTTGCAATTTCAGAAACTTTGAGGAAGTGTCTTAGTCATGTATTTACCCAAAACGACTGAGGAGAAAATCTTGTTCATAATCATTCGATTTACTTCATATTTTCCTTTGCTTTATCTTTTTATTTTTTAATATTTTTATTACTCATTCATTGTTTCTTTATTAGAATAAGTTCATTTTTCAATCTATTTTTTTTATAATAATACTTTAAGAAGTTAATGTTATTACTGTTTTATATAACACAGACAAACACGGCATACACACACCAACAGGGATGTGCGGGACAATGTCTCTCCTGTCCCCTTGTTCATTTTCCTGGTTCATTTTATTTAGTTTACCCTCAGTGCTCTTTTCTTATTGGTTAAACTCAAAGGAAGGAAAGTGACACTGTAAAGTAAAGTACTCGATCTTATTGGCCTGTAAACCCGGAGCTTATCCTAGTATCAATAAATTGGAGTATTCATTTTTCCCCTGGATGGGATGCTAGGACTTCCCCCCTGCCTCCCTCCCTCCCTCCCTCCCCTCAGATTCAGATTTCTCTGACAATTCCTGGCTCCCATTTTAACTCCTGGGTGGAGGGCACTGTGAGAGTTAAGTGCTTTGCACAAAAGAACACAACACGTTAACCCAGCCAGGTCTCGAAACTAGGATCCCTCGACCCAGAGTCCAGTGCAATTGCACTAGGCCCCTGCGTCCCTTACCTGATATTAGCTTACGTTTGATTTAAGCCAGTTTGATGTCGAGGAGGAAATAATGCGAAGAAACCTGTAACTGTAGGAGTAGATTTTAAAGCATTTAGTTACTTCAAAGAAAGCAGGAGGTACAATGTTTAGAGTAATTATTTGAGACGGCTTTCTTTCATATTTCACACCCATCCAGGCTGAGTGGTTTATAACTAATTTCATAGTTATCATTTTTTATGTTTTCGTTTTATTTTGTTAATGAGCCGTTGCATACTCTGCAACACATCTGAGTTTGAGCGGTTGTTTTCGCCTGTCGTTTCTGGCAACTCTCATTTTCGTATTTAAGAACCACCCAGGGGAATCAGATAGAGGGGTTCTTTACAAAATTTCAAAATGCTAGCGATGCAGTTGGTGGGGAAAATCTAAATTGACATTCATGGAGAAAAAAATTAAAATAAGTGAAATCATGATAATATTAATGATAATGCTTTTAATTCGTTTCGTTTCTAAAGCCATTTGAAACATGTAGTCGTTAATCACAAAATTAGAGGCAAAAACGGCGCAGGTTTCTGTTCTAACTGATTGTTAAATTACCTTCCACATTTGTGTCATTTCCTTGAACGAAATATATAAAGAATTCCGTCCTCCAATCGGCTAATTATGAATAAATAAATAAATAAAACTAGTTTAAAAAGGAGAAATTAGAATATTCACTTGAATATCGATTGAAAAGAATGGTTGGACTACTGTTCCCAGATTACTGCCGTTGGTGTGGGCGTAAAATAATATACCGTCACCCGAAACGAAAAAGGGTTGGGAGCGATTAATTTTCAGTGACATAGGCTGGCAATTTTTGTTTATGCATGGGGAATTTTTTCAAGTTTGTTTCGCAGACTTGACGGTGTTGTAAGGCTAATTCCTACATAGACCATTAAAATTAGAATTTAAAAGACTTGTAGTCTACAAAGATAACTCCTCGTTGGTCTATTTGGGATATCATTATGAATTAAAATTCATTTATTATGCGAAATACCGTTTGTTGCATAATGAAGCGCCAAAATCGGCTCATATTTTCTTCAGAAATATCAATAACATTAAAGAAAGCATACACGTCAAATCTAAGGCAATACTGTTCCTAACACGAAACACATGATCTAATCCATTCACGCATTTTTCTTGTAATGAAAGGAAACGGTAATCCTATGTGACTTACGGGGTTTCTGTTAAAACGAGTAAAAACTCAAATACTATAAACACGTTCGTCCAAAAAATGGCAAATGAGAGTAACCGTGACGAGGACGTGATTGAAGGCATTTATTATCGCAGGTGTGTAATTGCAAATATTAAAATTGGTCGTCATCAGCCATGGAGTGTTACCAATGCGAATCTAATCCGCTAACATTCGTAAACGGACTAATCGCTCCTTCTTTTTTTTTTGTTTTGCTCTTTTTCCTTTCCTGATTTTCTTTAATTGAGCGCACTCGATAAGGATCACTAAAACGTCATGGTAATGGCTTAATTGCTCACTGTGAAATATTTCTGTTCCCAGCAATTATATTTCAAAAATTCGGTAACCTATTTGGAAAGAGAATACATCGTTAACTCTAAGAACACTATCAAATTTAGAAGCAGTCAAAACGTAAATAATCTTAGAGATCTTTGATACAGATTTAGGCAGCATTAGTTCGTGATTGTCCATAAGATTAAATTGTTGTTTGTTCAGGTGGCCAAGCTAGTCAAACACCTAATGAGACAAGTTGGCAAATTTCGTAATAATGTTGGTTCACCTGCATTGATAATGAAACATTTTCTCCGACAGTATTAGGCTCTTTTTTTATTTTCTAATTACCATAACGAATGTGAATGAATGACATATCAATAACTTGCTCATTAAAGTAAAAAGAAATCAACAACATTTCCCCTTCACATTTCGTGTGCTGCCTGCAAAAATTCAGACTACCTGGAGGTTTTTACAGACCATAAAAGGATGTTTCGTCCATGCCTTATCTTCCTAAGCATCGTTGTAACCTGGGCTCTAGGTAAGATTAGGAGTTAAATGTACACTTCTGAATGTAGTGTGATTTTCTGAACTCGTAAGCATTCTTTACACTGGTTGCTTTAAGTCAGTTATCGGCTAATTTAATGATATCAAATGTAACTCGAAACTGGAGGAAACTACGAATTAGTTTGTCGGTGAAGTTTACTGATGAAGAAATGCATTGGTGATCACCACTTATACTACCTCCATTTCCTAATAAAAATAAAAACAAAAATACGAATTTCGCAATATTTTTTAATTTGCTTGTGTTTTTCTTATATTTCTTTCTTTTTCCAATTTTTCTTCCAAATCAAATCCAAATGTATACCAGACTAAAAGATTTATGGTAATTTTGTGGAATAAGAGAGCCATCTAGCAATGGAAGTTTTCTTAAAAACATACTGTATAACAGTTCTCAGATAAAATTAAGGAATAAATTTATTTTCTCAAGCTCGGGAAATAAAAAAATTTCAATGTATTCCTGTTCGTTTCGCGAGTGATAAAAGGCACAACTTGCGTTAAAAATTGACCACAAAAGCATTTTTCTTGTCTGGTAGCGCTTTGAAAATATATAGCGCCGTCGTCGGAAACTATTGCTGAGACAAAATATTATTTTGGCTAATTATCATGATTACCTTTTTATTATTAATAATTTTTTTATCGTCATCTTTGTTCAAGTCATTTCCTTTATTATAAAATGTTATTTTCAAAACAGGTCTAGGAAGTACGCAAGATACATTTTTTTTCAAAAAGCTTTATTTAATTAATTGTCTTGCGACAAACAAAGCTTGAATCGAATTGATGATCTCTCTACGAGATAATCTGGTTTTATCACTTGACTTGATGAAAATTGGCCACCCTAAAGAGTTTCTGAGGCTAAAGTTTTAAGCGTTAGCGCTTCACCTAAATAACTACAAAAACAGCCAAGATATCATTTTGTTACAACCTTTTTCTGATTTTGAACATTTGGGGACTGGAAATTACCACGAATTTAACTAAAATTTACCAATTATTCTGCTAGCGACGTAAAAAGTTTTAACACTTAACAAAAAAACGAATATTCATCCTTCTTATTAAATCAATATACGCTTCTATTTCTCCATCAGATTGCAATAAACCAGTTGGTATTGGAGATGGAACACTCTCAGATTCAGCGATGACTGCAAATTCCGAGATCAATAAGTTAGTAAAGAGCTTGATCGAAACTCTAAAAGGAGCACTTGACTGTCATACATCTCCCCTTTTATTGATTCTTGAAAAACTTTGAGCAAACGATATTGATACTTCATTTTTTAGCATTTATTAAAATTTCAAGTTGGTGCTCTTAATGCTTTCATAACTTCCTTTTTAGGCTAATTGTGTATAAAAAGTTTAAAAAGCGTGAATATTTCGAAATTACAGGTTATATCTACTATGTGGATTCAATTATTTGAATATATACTGCTCGCATTCCCCTTTTTTGGTTCTGGCTGGTCAAAGTAAAATCAGGAATGAATTGATTCGTTTAAATGACATACTATTCAGCGCGTGCCTGTCCGCCGTGTTTTGAACTTTCTCAATTAAATAATTAAGAAATGTAGTCAGTCGCTGTTTCCATGTTGGATATGTAAATTTTACACATCCTCAGATTGTGTTAACTTTATCATAGATGGCATGGAGCTAGGGAAGGAAGGTTAAATAACTATAAAGGAAAACCAGGAAACCCAGGGATTGGCGCTTGGTGTGCGGACAAAAAGGATTCTAACCAATATCGTTATATACAGGTAAGGCAAGGAAAAAAATATCATTCCTCCCAACTAACGTAAAGTCTTGCCTACGACCCACACCTGTGCTATGTCAAACAGAAAAATTGAAAAATTACAGCACAAAAATAAGTCTATTACTTTTTTTAATTATTAAAGATGAACCTCAAGAGAAAATTCTGAACTTACGTTTTGTTTGGTTTGTTAATTCTAAGTCTGGTCCGATTGTTTTGAAATGAATTCGATTTGTGACGTTCTGAAGCTCAATTCAAAACCAGTTCATGTAAATAATGTTCTGATCAGCCCTCCAGTTATAAGCCCAACTCAAACCCCTCCGAAGTACAGGGCTTATGAGCGGCAGTTTACGGTTGACTAACTCTCCGGTTACAGGTTCCCGAGTTGAAGTCCTTCCGGATATAGCAGGTAATTTAGTGTTAACAACTAAGTTGAAAACGTAAATTAGCCACCGTAAAGGGTAAAAAAGCTGACGTTTCGAGCGTTAGCCCTTCGTCAGCATCGCTCTGACGAAGGGCTAACGTTTGAAACGTCAGCTTTTGAACCTTTTTCGGTGGCTAATTTACGTTTTCAACTCAGTTGTTAACACTAAATTACCTACCATACTCTCCCACCGACGCAGCACCACAGTTTCTTTAGAAACTTACCCCTTTATTCATCCGGATATAAGTCCACCTAAAACCCTTACGGAGTTCTATAAGTCCAGGGTTTATAAGCTGCAGTTTTCGGTAGGTTGACTTTTTATTTATCTGTGCATTTGCTAACTCACTCAAGCACACTTGATTAAAAAGGTATCTTTATCTATTTCTTCTTTTTAAAATGTAATCTATTTATCATCCTCATATCTAGTTCGACTTGGGTTCCGTGCGTAAAATTGGAAAGATCGCCACTCAGGGTCGTAACACGTCATCGTTCCAATACGTTAAAAGTTACAGAATACTTTACAGCGAGACTGGCAACGTATTCTCGGGAATAAGAGATATAAATCAGAACGAAGTGGTAAATAATCCGCATTTAATATGTTTTTATTTTTGTTTTTGTTCTTTCTAATTTTATTTTAGTTGGTTGTTAATGCTTACATACATTGTCCTCTTGTAATTCCATAGGTATTTGCTGGCAACACGGACAAAAATTCAATTGTGACGAATGATATACCTAGTGCTGGAAGAAATATTAAGGCCAGGTACATTCAAGTGATTCCCATTGACTTCAGGGCTAACATTTGCATGCGTTTTGAGCTCTACGAGTGTGTGGGTAAGTTATCGTATTGTTTGGGGTGAGTTTTGTCTGAGATAAAAACATATATTTAATAAGTGAGTCATAAGTTCGAGATTTCGTACGTATGATATAATTATAGTTGACTAAGGGGAAGCCCGAGTCGACCCACAAAAATACATGTAGAGATATAGGGCAAATAATACCATTATTTAATGAAAATTTACGAGTCTTTAAAAAAATTAAGTAAATCACAGGCTTATGTTTTTATTTTGATTTGCTTTTAACCACCTTTAATGCATTTATAAAAATCTTAACAATTTACGTACGTAAGAAAATTGCTTCAGTACCAAAACGAGTTAATATCTCTTTGCGCTTCTGTAACTTTGATGTCAAGAGGAGCCTGTTTTCCTTTTTACTTCTGATGAGTGAGTATTTGCGACTTTTTTTTCCTTTATGATCTTACAGAGTCGGTGCCCACAACTTCTGCTCCCCCACCAGGTACGTTTTAACCTAGCCAAAGCATAGCTTTTCAGAACATTTAACAAGTATTCCAAGCTCGCGCATTGGATAAACACCAACGTAAACAGCCAAGGAGGACGTAGCGCCGAGTTGGCTATAACTAACCTTTCACCCAAAAAGCCCGAATAGAATAATTTTTTTTTTTAATCAAATTTCACTAAATCCTGAACGCTTGGATCATTATTTAAGATGACTCAGAATATGAGCTGATAAAAGGAGCTGAGTGAACCAATCAGAACGATATAAATCCGGTATTCGGAATTGGAATTTAATAATAAAACATTATCTAGCCGGCAAGTGCGGAGAAAAGACAGAAATAATTACCGTTTATGGGTGTTACGTGGTATAAACACCAAGTTCTCCTAACCAATGGAAAACGAAATTCTTAGGATATACATGAACAAAGGATTATTCTGACTTACACTACATATTGAAGTGTTGGCAGTTACGTCTCAACTTTAACCACGCTGATTTATGACATTATGCAAAAAGTTGATTAAAGCGCAGCAATAAAGAAGACAGATCTTCTACTAATGTTTATTTTTCGGCAAATTCAGTAGTCGCGTTATTTTGGCTTCATACATATCCTATATGTCTGCGTTACTGTATTACCTATTATAAATTTCTGACTCTCTTCTTTTCTTAATCGTTGTCTTCTCCTTACGATTTGCCTACGATCCAACCAGCCACGACTAGTCCTCCAGTTGGTAAGAATATCATTCTTTATACTGTTCCCAGGATCAGTTGTTGCTATAGCACTGTGTATCTCCACAGATGTATCACTGAATTATTCGTTTGCTTTCTTGTTCTTTCTTCATCATCATCATCATCATCACTGTCGTCATCATCATCATCATCATCATCATCATCATCATTCTTTGCATCACCATCATTACCATTATTAGTTTTATCGAATTTCTTTCATAC